TAAAACAATACATTTTTCAATGACTGGTAAAGTTTAGTAAAGACACAGAAAACATAGATCTGGAGCATAGAAATATGGAGACATAACATCCTGAAGCTTGAAGTGCTTCCTCTCCAGTATGTGGCAGTCTGTTGAGCAGTTACTATTTCAGGGTCCTGGGTGAGGTTCCATGGACCACAGGGACCCCTGGCCTTGACCCCTGCCCGTCCAGAGCATAGAGCCTGCAGTGTTGGTCCACCACAGTCCCACCGCGTGCATGGTCCTGAAACTTGGCGAAGCCTGGCCAGTAGCTGCCAAGGCCCTGGAAGCAGTGTGGTGAAATCTGAGCTATCTCTCCGGGCTTTGGGGAGATGCACCCCTCCAGTGAGTTTAGTGAGTCTGCCTAGTAGCCAAGCATGGTGACTTTGGAGACCACTGTTAACAGGGATTTCTCTGAGGGGTGTTGCGTCTTGACTTACGCAGTGTTTTGTTGGTGAGGGTGTGGGGCCGTTCTTGGGCACATTCATTTTTAGACTGAGCTGTAATACAGGGTTGCCTTTGGCTCCTTTTAGAATGTTCTGGTCTCTTTTGGAACTGTCTTAGGCTGCTCTGCTTGCGGAATTCTTAAGGTTGTTTTTTTATAGCTTTTCTTGTTTTTTCCCCATAGTTGTCAGCTTTTATTTCTTGCTGGCAGTTTGTCTGCAGGGTGGCAAGCCATCCCCTGGCCCTTCTAATTTGCTGTGTCCTTGGGAGCCGGAACACCAGCCTCGATGGAATTTACATAAACAGAGAATCTCAATAGACCCTGAAGGAGGGGAGGCTTCAGGGCCCTTCCCCGCAGAGCTCCTGGCACTCGAAGGGCATGAACAATGTGTGTTTTGATGGTTCCGGGGCCTATTTTTCGGGCCTGCTGCTGGGGTGGGGGGCGTTCCTCCAGCATCCACTGCCTGTTTCTCTGCCCTGCGTTGGGGCCGGGGGAGAGGGGGCACAGTGTTTTATGAGGGGCCATTGACAAGGAAGAATCCCAGGCATACCTGTGTCTCCTGAGCAACTGGATATGAGTGTGAGAGATCCTGAAACAGGTGTTTGTGAGCCAGAGAGAATTTTGTGGAAACAAAGTAAAGATAAAAGGAAAGTGAGTGATCCCTGAAACTTATCTGCCAGACTATACTCTTAAAAATTTTTAGTAAAGTCTTTCAAACATACTGAAAAGGAAAAGTAAATGGACTTCTGGGTTCTCAGTACCCTACTTTAATGATGATATTAGCTGTAGTTATTATTCTATTACCAGAACTGTATTAACTATAGTAATTATATTGTACTGTATATTTGAACGTTGCTAAGAGTATGTAGTTCTTAAAAGTCGTCATCACACAAAAAATTTTGTAACATAATTACCAAAAATGTAATTATGTGTGGTGATGGATGTTAGACTTATTGAGATAATCTGTTTGCAATATATACAAATATCAAATCATTGTGTTGTACACCTGAAACTAATATAATGTTATTTGTCAATTATATCTCAATTAAAAACATATTACCATGTTGCTTTTTTGCCTCAGAGTTTAAAATAACAAGATGCTACCAAATATCATTAGAAGTCGGCAGTATTTCCCTGTCAGGGCCTGCCCGCCTCCCTTCTCTCCAGAGGCATCCACTGCCCTGAGCTTAGCCGTGTTTCTTCCAATGCAGGCTTTTATTCTTTGAGTATATATTGTTGTATCCTTCAGTAACAAGCAGCGTTCTTTTGCACAGGTAATCTCATGCAAGTGGCACAACACTGTATGTATTCTTCCATTACTAGCTTTTCATCCTCACTGTTACATCTGTGAAATTTATTCATCTTGCCTCTGGTTCATTCATTTTTCACTGCTTTTGAGCAAGGATTGGTGAACCATGGCCCCAGGACTAAATTTGGCCTACTACCTGGTTTTGTAAATAAAGTTTTATTGGAACCCAGCCATGTCCTTTGTTTATGGATTTCCTATAGCTGCTTTGCACCACAGTGGAAACGTTGGGTAGTCAAGACAGACAAAGATCGAATGGTTAGCAAGGTCTAAAATATTTGCTGTCTGGCTCTTTGCAGAAAAAGTGAGCCGAGCCCTGCGGTAGAATTTTGATGTGACTGTATAGCACATTGCGTCTGTTCTTCTGTGGGTGAACATTTGGGCCATTTCTAGTTATTTTTAATTGTACAAACAGTGCTTCAGAAGCTCATTTTTGTTCATTCGAGGTTCTCCCTAGAGTGTGTAGCTGGACATGAAGTTACCGGGCTGGAGGGCACGTGCACCTTAAATTTGTCTCCAAGGCGGACCTACCAATTTGCACTCCCACTGGCAGTCTGTGAGACTTCCTCTCCCTCACACCCCTGCCAACAGCTTGGTGTTTTCAGACCTTAAGTTGGGCACCTGATGCGGTTAACGTGGTGCTTCATTACCGGTCAGCATTTTTTCAGGTGGTTGTTGACCATTTGCCGTTGTGGAAGTTGCCTGCTAATAATATTCTTTGCCCACTTCCCTCCGGAGTTGTCTTTTTTCCTTTTCAGTGACTGGCTACTGCTCCTTTTGGTTCTAAGCATCAAAACCTGCCAGCGACTTGGTTTTTAGTCTGGATTCCTCACCAGGGCTGTGTCTTGAGGTCTAGTCAGCCTCAGTTCATCTGGATAGGCATGATCTGTATCTACACATGCACACACATATGTAGTATGTGTGTATGCACATATGCACACACACATACATGACTTCTTTTTCTTGGGAAGGTGAGTCTAAGGGTGAAGAAAAGTAAGTAGTTGCCAACATTGTCAGCAGGGTTGACCCACACAGCCTTCCCCTTTCGGATGTTCCAAGCAGCGTGCAACGGCCGGGTCTTGGAGCAGTTAGTGTCTTCCTGAGGCTGTCCATTTGAGTGAGCTGGTTGTTGATGACGCTTTGTGTAGACGTGACCCACGATGTGACCCACATGATCCCACAGAAGCTGAAGGCCGCCGTGGTGGGTACGAAGGGTTTGGAGGGCTGCCTTGGACAGAACCCGAATGTGACTTGGGGTTTTGGGTTTCCCCATTTGGGTTTTGGCTGAAGTCAGACCTTGGTTTCAGCTTGATCGCATTGAACCATTCTCTGGCCCGCAGTGATTTAAAGAATTAAAACTCCCATTTCCAGGCCAGGCTACTTTTGTTTGACTTTGCGCTGATCCATTCTCTTCAAAACCGAGAGAGCTGGCTTTCCTCCTGCCTCCGCCGTCTCTGACCTTTGAGTTCAAGCTTTCTGAGCTGAATTGTTAAAAAAATAACTCTGCAGCCCTTTGGGTGTACAGAATCCTGTGAAAATTCACAGTCCCTGCAGCCATGATCTCCGGGTACCTCACCGATAGCTCAGTGGAGCGCGGAGAAAGATAGGTGGCAGCTGCCAGCTTGCAGTCGAGGACCCTGAGAGGCGCCGGAGCTGGCACGCCCCTGACCCCGTAGCAGTCTTCTGTGCTGGGCCTGGCTTCCCGCTCTGGTGCTTTTCCCGCAGTGTGTGATTCAGGTGCGGTCTCAGTTCATCGCCCAAGGTCCAGACGACCCCTCTTCATCATCACCACTGTCGCTCCTTCAGAGAGGGCCACACTCCAGGTCCTTCGTCTTCAAAACCGAGAGCAGGGGCTGTTATATTTGTGAAATTTATTCACCTCACCTCTGCTTCATTCCTTTTTCACTGCTGTTGAGCAGGGGTTGGCAAACCATGGCCCCAGGACCAAATTTGACCTACTACCTGTTTTTGTAAATAAAGTTTTATTGGAACTCCAGTAAATGCAACACTCGGGGCGACCGAGACAGGCATCACTAGGGGAACGATCCCTGAGGCCGTGCCACGTGTCAGACTCTGCACATTTTCTCACGTGTCGTCTCCAGTGATGCCTAAATTAGTGCTGTGAGCTGCAGGGCCATCTTCCTGGGCCTGGGACCGGCACCTTCATTCAGGGCTCATGCTTGCTTTAGATTGAAAGGAAAGGCACCGTGCTTGCTTTACGCCCTGCACCTGCCTCCTTGAAATTTTTGAACAGTTGGCCCCACGTTTCCCAGTTTGCACTGGGCCCTGAAAATCACGTAGCCAGTCCTGTGCACAGATCAGGGAACCGAGGCTTAGGAGGGGACGTAATTTGCCTGAGATTACACAGCTAATAACTGGCAGAGCTGGGATTGGTGGAATTTCTACGTGACTACTTCATTTATTAAAAATAGAGCTCTGAAGAGCCGCGTTTGAATTGCACTGCAAGGAACAGGGAGTGATTTAAATAGCGCTGTAGAAATACTGATTTTCCATGGAGATTTGCTTATATGTCGTTAAATAGTTTTGTGCTGGCCCCACCCTGGCCAGTTGCCACCTTGCCTTTGAGGGAGGAACTCTCTCTGTCCTAGAGCGTGCCTGGAATAGGGAGCCAAGCAGACTGACCAAGTGGGTTAATGGACTTCTTTGATTGCAAAGAAGAGGAAGATGACCGAGTACAGTGACCCATAACGATGCCTGAGGAATTGAGATGCTGGTCCGTAGTTAGGGAACCAGAAAGGTCCCGCATCGCTCTGGGTCCAGATCCTGGCATCACTCCCTCCGTGGCAGTTTCCTGGGTCCCCGGCTCAGTTACTCCTGGCTTTGCTTTTCTCTGTGTGTCTCACTTGCTACCAAGCATTCCACTTGCACCTCTCCCAGGACATTCAGGTTTAGCCACTCGGGCTGCTGGCCTGCCTAGAGGTTGACCACTTGGGGCGAGGCAGTGCCCTGTGGCCGAGTTGGCACGGTTATAGGGCACCAGAGCGGTGACTTGGGCAAAGAAGCTTTAGGTTCGGGACAGTGAATCTCGTCCTGTCCAAGTCACTGCCTGCCTGGTCTCCCAGGACGGGCTCTGATCAAGTCAGCTGTCTTGGAAGATGAGCTAGCTCACCGCTTCCCGGGAAGGACACCCTCTGGGCTAGAGAAGGTTCCGGGGCTTTCCATGGTGACCTGCTGGCCTCCCTGGTGACCTGCTCTCCTTTCCCTCCACAGCAGCAAACCCTCTGCTCTGCTCCACCGCTCGCTACCACTGTAAGAACGGGCTCTGCATCGACAAGAGCTTCATCTGCGACGGGCAGAATAACTGCCAAGACAACAGCGACGAGGAAAGCTGCGAGAGTTCCCAAGGTAGGAGATGTCCCGGCTCTAAAAAATAACCACAGGGCTTGCCACGGTGACACTGGGAGGGAGAAAATGACCCCGGACCCGCCTCCAGATACACCGTGTTAATGTTTGCACTTGACCTGGCAGCCCGGCACACGTGGCCTTAACTGTAACGCACCATCTATTTCATTTTTCTCATGTGTTAAATACCATACACATATTTTCTCTTCAGAGTTGAAATTTGCCCCTGCTGCGTTGCATCCGGTCGCAGGGCTCTGCTGCGGTTTTTGGAATCGTTGCATTGTTGGGGGCCATCGAGGCTGTTTCTTTCCACTGAATTTCTTGCTCAGGATCAGTTCTGCCGGCTGGGACATGTGCATGGTTCATGGCTCCGCCTCTCCATACAGCTGTTTGGAATTATTTTTTGCTTCACGCTGCTGCTCGCATTGTCTGCACGTGTCAGCTTCACTGCGATACCCCAGGCAGCCACTGCTCTTCTGTTTTCTCCATTTTTGCTAATTTAGCAGCCATAGAACGATAGCTCCCCAAATGCTTTAATTTGCATTTCTCTGATTATGAGCAAAGTTAACATTTTCCCCATGTGTTTGTTTACTACTTTGTGTCCCTTTGTGTGAATTTTCTACTCATCTCAGAGCTCTTGGTCTCAGAGCTGTTTTCTGGAAGCCAATGGATGCAATGTGGGGAAGAAAAGGAGCTTTTTAGGGAACCCAGAAGGATGTGGCAGGGTCGTATCTTCTCCTATTAAAACTGACCGGGTACCTTTCTTTACTCATTGACTGTTTTCCTATAAACATGTATTTCCTTCAATGATGAAGAAGAAATGCAAAGATTTAAGAACGTGCATCGTTTTAAGGCATCCTAAAAAGTGTATATTTCTGGTATAAACTGATACCATCTGTATGCAATCTTTCATTTTTTTACTTAATATTTTATTGCTGTGATTCACCCATATTATTGTTTGTTGGTAGAGTTCATTTTCCTGACTGTGACGCAGTATTCCACAGTTTATAGATTTAATAAAACTGTAGAAAGGAAAGCAAGGTAAAGATGGCTCTAACTCATGTCAGGAGGCAGAGTGGACCGAATCAGCTCCGTGAAGTCAGGTGCAGGTTCTTTCCAAGGTCCTGGCTTTTGTTTTGGTTGGTGGCTCTTATGTTATTAAAATTGAATAAATAGGTCATTCATAGACCACTGGTGAAAATGAGTCCACAAACCAAGGATTACGATTGATCCAAATACATAAGCCCGAGGTCTGGAGATGAAAGATACAATGTGCATCAGCATAGACTTGGCCAAAATGTGTACAGAGAACAGCTCTGGGAGCTGAGCCTGGGGTAGAATTAGCCTCTGATTGTCCTTGGGCCTTCGCTGCACCAGTGGTTCTCAAAGCCTTCCGGCGATTTAAACACGGTAAAGTCTGAAGCCACTGTTCTGCATCAACTTCAGAGGTTTCGAATCTGCCATTTGCCGAGGAATTTCGAACTTCTGCTGGAACGGCAGGGTATTTCTAGCCTTTACACAAAGTCAAGTTTTGATAAACCAAAAGTTATGCCAGTACACCTCCCACGGCCTGTGCCATCCGCAGTGATAGACACCAGGCACGGGAACAGTGGTAAAGTCAATACCAGCATGGATAGGAGGGACTGAGGAGAATTTCCTGTATTATTTCTTACGTGGTTTCTTATGTGTTTACCAGACTCACTGATGGTGCCCTGAGATGTTCCGCAGAAGGCCTTCTAAAACTTGGAAGTTAGGGAATTTGTCCGGATGGTTTGTTTTAGCAGCACCTCTCCCCACACCCTCCGCCCCCATATGCCTATCCCAGCATTTTGCTGAAGCAGATTTGGGCTTACCCTTAAGAAGAACTGTCTCTCTACAGGCTGGTTAAAGTTATTGTCTCTAAACCCAGTTCCCTTTTCTCTGTATATGCTGTACTTTCTTAAAAACACCGGGTGTAGGAAGTCAGTGGTGGACACATGCACCTGAAGCCCAGCATTGGCAGGTACCTTATGTGGAGCCGCCTTCCGTAGCGTCTCAGCTTTGTGCCTGGCATACCCAAACAGCACCTCCTGCCGCCCCGAAAGTGAGCTGTGTTCCCACATACTCTCAGAAAACAAGTCCCATCAGAGCAAGAGTGACAGCTGTTAGTCCCCATCAGTGTGACAGCCTCTGAGCTAGGGGGCTGGCCCGGGCGGAAAGGCGTTGCCATTAGCTACCTGAGAATGGGAAGCGTGCCTTTTTTGCCTCTCAAATCCCACAGTCCTACCCAGTAGCCAAGTGTCTTGCACATAGTGGATTTAATACATACTGCAAACTGGAAAAGATGTCTTTGTCGGACATTATGTTATTAAGCTGTGTTTAATTTGCACACTATGTAGTATTACATTGTGTATGTTTTTAAGTTACGTGAGTTTAGAAAATCTACAGTCTATTAAGATAATCATAATGAGGATTATTATTGTTGCCTATTGGGCTCTCTGTTCTCCTAAAGAATTTCAGAGGCACCTGGCTTGTACAGAATATCGTCTTGAACCACAGAAGGCTGGAGCCCTTGTCATCTTCAAATAGGGGACGTTTATCGAGCCTTACCGTGCACTAGATACTGTGCACCTTCCGTTCGTGAGCTCCTTTAGGCAGAATACATCCCGTCTGCCTCTCCTGGGCTCCCAGTCCCTCAAGATGCATCTTTGCTTTCAATCAATGTGGGAAAAGGAAATTATATTTCATAACATTTACTTGGATGGAGTGGAGAAACCTCGCCCCAGGACGGGAAGTACAGTTCTTGAAGTACTTTCTTCTAGTTGGATGAGAGTATGGAAAAGCGGTGTCTCCACACTAGCCACACCAGCTTCGTGTGCGCCTCCCTCCCTTTCTCTGCTCACCCCAATTAGTTCCCTGCCTCGTCCTTGGCCTGGAACCCAACAAGGAGCTCTGCCAGGAACTGGAAGCGGGGACAGGACCATGAACGTACCTTTCTTTCTATTCCATGTGGGATGTATTAGAGACCAGAGAGCACTGTGGTGGAATTGAATTTTAATTGGGCTTTGTTGATTGGAAACACAACCTGTTCACCAGATAATTCCCAAAGCAGGGGCCTTGGAGCTGGCTGGCATATGGACCTTCTGTTGCTTAGGAACTCTCCCGGGAGGGGCGCACCTGGGGGTCAGCAGGTGCCACGGTGCCCATGCTGGGTGTGGCCAGCACTGAGCGGGGCCTGAAATATGTTGAATTTAATCCCACTGAACAGTTAGATTCTTTCCAGCTTTGGGTAAATGACTGAATGTGGTAGGCTGTCTTTAACAATTTCCATCTCCTGGGGTTCACACCTGGTATGATCCTAATTCTTTGAATGTAATCTGGACTTTGTGACTAGATTTTTTATTTTTTTTTCATTGTGGCAAAATACACATAACATAAAATTTACCATCTTAACCGTTTTGGAGTGTACAACTCGGTAGTGTTAAAGTATACTCACATTGTTGCACACCAGTCTCCAGATCTGTTTCATCTTGCAAAACTGAAACTCTGTACCCATTAAAAAATGCCCCGGTCCCTCCTCCCCCCCAGCCCCTGGCAGCCACTGTTCTACCTCCTGTCTCTGTGAATTTGACTACTCTAGATATCTCATAGAAGTGGGATCACACAGTATTTGTCTTTTGCTGACAGGCTTATTTTTTACTTAGCAGGTTCATCCACGAGGTAGCATGTGTCGGAACGTTCTTCCTTTTTAATTAAGGCTGAATAACACTCCGTTGTGTGCCGGAGCCACACCTTGCCTACCCGCTCATCCGTTGATACCCGCTCGAGTCGCTCCCATTTGGGGCATCGTGAATAGTGCTGCTGTGACCATGGATGCTCAGATTGGGACTTGCTTTTAACAAAGAGACAAAGGTGATGGGATGTCGGTTCCAAGATTAGATTACTCAAGGCTGGCGTCTGTGTTGCTTACTCTCTTTTGCTCATGTGACTGGACGCTGCCCTGTTTTTAGCTGCCCCATGCATAGGCCCGTGTGGCAAAGCCCGGGGAGAGCTCTGACCAATAGCCAGCAAAGAGCTGAGGCCCCCCGGTAGCCACATGGTGAGCTCGCAGCGGCTCCTCCCCTGGGGCAGCCTCGAGCTCTCCGAGGCCCCCGTGGACGCCTTGAGCGCAGCTTGTAAGAGGCCTTGAGCCAGAGCTGAACCGCTCCTGGGTTTCTGACTCATAGAAACTGGGAGATAAAAAGTGTTTAAGCCTCTGAGCTTTGGGGTAGTTTGTTGTGCATCGGTAATAGAAACTAATACACCGAACACGTCTCCTGTGGGCCCCAGCCTGACTGGCTTGGTCCCAGGCGATGGTGAGGTGTCACTTTTGGGAGGACCGCCGTGACTTTGATCTCTCGCTAAATGTCAGGCACCATTCCAAGCATTTACTCACATTAAGCCGTTCGGTCCTCACAGAATCCGTGTGAGAGGGACCCTCTCACGGAAAAGGAGCCCCATTTTCTAGATGAAGAACTGAGGTGGTTTATGGCTGTGCCGTGTGCACGCAGTGAGTAGGGATCCAGGATGGGATCATCCAGCGTACAAAGTAACGTCCTTCACGGTCCCCCATGGTTCCCCTTCCCCCCGCGACACTGCCGTCCGGTCTTCGCTGTCCTGGGAGCGGGAGCACAGGTCTGGCCCTCGGTCCCGTGAGCCCATGGAGGGGCTGTGTCTGAGGCTGGCGTCGGTCCCCGCTTTTTGTACTCAATTTTCCTCTCAGTGGGAAAGACTAATCATGCCTGTCCCCCTTCCTGCCTCACGAGGAACGCCGGGAAGTTAAGCTCTTCTGCAGAAGCCACCAACCCTGGGAGGGTGAGCGGGGTGTTTTGGCAGCTGGGCTGCAGGTTCTTTACCTTGCCTGCTGTGTTCTGGTGATAACGCCTCGGGAGCATTTGGAAGGCTGGCTGTGGGGTCTGGCGCCTCACCAAACGCTAACAGTGCTAGCTGTGTGCTGTTCCTTCTGTAGGAGTGTGTGTGTGTTG